TTGCTGGGAATTGAACCCAGGACCTCTGGAAGAGCAGCCAGTGCTCTCAACCTCTGAGCCATTTCTCCAGCCCTCAGCCCTATTTTTTTTCTTTTTTTAAGAAAACTTTTTGGTTGACCTAACTCACATAGATCTGACTGCCTCTGCCTCCCAAGTGCTGGGATTAAAGACGTGCACCCGCATCGCCCAGTTTAAAGAAAACTTTTAAATGATGTGTATGTGGTGATGGTGGAGGGGGCTACATGTATGTGGATGCAGTTGTCTGTAGGGTCCAGAAGAGGGCATCAGACCCCCTGGAGCTGGAGTTACAGACCTTTATCATCTGTCTTGTGGGTCCTCTGCTAGAGCATGAGCACATTGTACCACTGACACCCCCCAACCCCTGGAGCTCTGCCTCCTAGCCTCACTTTCTTCAATTAGCCCTCTCTGGTAACTGTACGTGTTCTAACATCTAGGTGGAACAAGGGGATTAGATTTTCCCTGTTGGTTAGAACAATGACAAAAACTGGGCCAAGTAATGAGGTTAGGAAATGGGCAAAGGTTGAAGGCGAGTGTGTCTGGCACATCTCCAGCTAGACAGTGAATACACCTTGGCAGATTCATGGTCCATGTACAGCAGCTCCTTTCAGCTTATGCAACCACGCCCCTTGCCCCTTCACTATTTGGTCCTTGAAAGGTGTCACTCCTGGAATCCCAGAAAGGCAAACCAGGACCTGGCCAGGCTAGGTTCAGAAGGCCTTCTTTGTCCTGACTGGAATGATAGTGACTGCTTAGCTTGATAGTTCTAAGATATACCCTGTCTCCATTCCCGTGACCAGAGTCTCAGCTCCTACCTCCCTGCAGCTTTCAAGCTGATTGCTCTTTTTAACCCACTTCCTACCTAACAAATAGCAGAGGGATATTTCCAAATACTAGTCAGACTGGGAAGGGTCTGAGGAAGTCCCTGGCCTCTAATGTCCTGCCTTTGTCCCCATCTCAACTTCCTGGGACTTGACTGTCAGCTACTACTCCAGGCCCACCTACTTCTCTACATCCTGCCAGTCATACCTATCTGTGCTCTGCTTAAATTGCTACTCCATCTGGCTTCCTCCTGACCCTTGCATAGCCAACTCCATTAGCACCTCCAGGAGATTCAAACACCCCTTCCCAGAATTCCCACATTCTCCTCCATTATAACTCACATTTTCATTTTCAAAAATATCTTAATTAATTTTTTTGCTAGTCTACAACACAGATTTGTTTGTTTTGTTGTTGTTATTTTCCCCTTTGAGACAGGGTTTCTCTATGTAATAGTTCTGGTTGTCCTGGAACTCACTTTGTAGATGAGGCTGTCCTCGAACTCACAGAGATCCGTCTGCCTCCACCTCCCAAATGCTGAATTTCAAGGCATGTGCCACTACCACCTGGCCAGCATAGTAGGTTTTGTTGTTACCTGCTTGTACATATACATATTATATTTTTATTTACCCTCCTCCTCATCACCATCTTTTTTTTTTTTTTTTTCTGAGTCAGGGTCCTACCATATCGCCCAGGTTGACTTCATATTCACTGTGAGCTTAAGTTAGCCTTGAACCCCCCAAACCCCTTCCTCTGTCTCCTGAGAGCAGGCATTACAGTCATGCATAAACAGGATTGGTCATAAGTTACTTTTCTTTCTCTGCAATAGATTGGTTTGTTGTTGTTGCTGTTTTTTTTTTTTTTTTTTTTTTTTTGTGGCGGGTCGGGGAGGCGAAGCAATGTCAGATTATTCTGTGATTCTAGCTGCTAGCCACACCTTGTGCCTAGACTGGAAATTGACACAGCAAAACAATGAAAGTGAGTTGAGTGAATAAAAGCCTACTTGGAAGTCCACCACACATCTGACCACGTATTACAGACTTTGAGGTTCCCAGATGGATTTTGCTTTTGTGACCTGCCTGTCACAGGGATGGAGGCAAGCACCCAGCTGGGGAAAACCCTGTCCTCCAGGCATAACTACCATACCACCATCATCAGAAGCAGATAGTAGTGACCCTTCAGAATGTGTTGACACTCCCTCATTGAGGGAGGGTTGGGAATCATTACCAGAGCCTTCCCTTGAGATGCCGTGCCCCCCCTCCTGCATCTCTCTCCCAGGGCATGCAGTTTTGTTCCCAGTCGAATGTGGTCTCATGGTCTCAGCAGGTGCTACAGTGTGTAAAATGGATAGGCTTAACTGGAGGGGGACCCCTATGGAGACGTTGTCATCCATGCTGGGGTGAGACGTAAGTGGTGTAGCTGCTTGGGCTCACCCGTGTTCCTGTAAACAACCCTCCACCCCCGTGTTCTGTAAGTAAGCCCAATAGACTGATTGGTTCTCCAAGCTAGACTTGGGTGCACTCATCTTCATGGTCGGAGTGGCACTATTAGGAGGTGTGTTGTTGGAGGAAGTGTGTCACTGTGGGGGTGGGCTTTGAGGTCTCTTTTCTTCAAGCCTCTCTCAATGTGACAGTCAGTTGACTTCCTGTTCCCTGCAAGATGTAGCACACTTCGTTCCAGGACCACATCGGCCTGTACATTGCCATACTCCTCATCATGATGATAACGGACTGAAGCTCTGAGCCACCCTAATTAAATGTTTTCTTTATTAAAGTTGCCATGGAAGCTGGGTGGTGCTGGCGCATGCCTTTAATTCCGGCACTGGGGAGGCAGAGGCAGACGAATCTCTGTGAGTTCAAGGCCAGTCTGGTCTAAATAGAGCAAGTTCCAGAACAGGCTCCAAAGCTGCACAGAGAAACCCTGTCTCCAAAAACAAACAAACAAATAAAAAAGTTGCCATGGTCCTGGTGTCTTTTCACAGCAATAAAAACCCTAAGACAAGATGCTTGTTCTCATCTACCAGGGCAAGTTTACAAAACAGGCCAATACTGGAAAGATGGAGGTCTCACGAGAGAGACTTCCTCTTTCTCCCACTTCATAGCCAGTCCCTTCCTGAAGTGGACACACTAACCTTTGAGGTGTTCCATCCATGCCCTCTCCTTAAGCCAAGACTTCTCAAGCTCCCACTTCAGCCTCTGTGATGGGGAGGGAGGAGGTACAGAGATATGTGCCCTTCCTTTGGAAACTGCTCAAGGGACAGCAGGGCCAGAGGATCAGTAAGGCAGAGGTGGGGTGCTCATGGATGTGGGTCCACTGATGAGTTAGCACATCCATGAAAAGCCTGGGCATCAAACATGCTGGGCTTGGGTGGGGATGCAGAAAAGAAAGCTGTCCATGCTTTGTTTTCTCTCGAGGGAGTAGGTTAACTTTGAAGATAGAGGAAGCACCTCTTTCTTCCCCATCCCAGGATGTGATTCTAGGCTAGAAGGAGGAGACTCAGCTGTCCCATCCAAAGACCCTCCACAGGCTTACCTTCCTGATAAGCCTAGCAGGCTCTGCTTGCGTAGTCCTGGAATCAGGGTAGTCATCTAGACAAGTCTCTCATAGACTTCTAAATCTTATCTTTTTCTTCAGTTTTGGAAGCCTAGTAGTCCAAGAAACCTCTGTTTCCTGGATAATTTATTGTTTTCTGAGACACTTTGTCCAGGCTGGCCTCAAACATTATGTGTATGTAGCCAAGGATGATCTTGAACTTTTTTTTTTTTTTGGTTTTTCGAGACAGGGTTTCTCTGTGTTGTTTTGGTTCCTTTCCTGGAACTCACTCTGTAGCCCAGGCTGGCCTTGAACTCACAGAGATCTGCCTGCCTCTGCCTCCCAAGAGCTGGGATTAAAGGCGTGGGCCACCACTGCCCAGCCAGTCTTGAACTTTTGGTACTCCTGCCTCCACCTCTAATATTGCAGGCATTTGCCACCATGGCAAGTTTATGTGGTGCTGAGAGCCAAAAACGAGACTTTATACACCCTAGGCAAATACTCTACCAGCTGAGTTATATCCCCAGCCCAGTTTTCATTTTTTTCCATATCTCTTGCTCCAACTCTGAGAGGGGCCAACAAACACTTCTAAATCCCTCGGCTCTTCCTGGAGATTCCTCAAGAACAAGAATTGAGGGGGACAAGATGCACACCTGTAATCCCAGCACTTGAGAGGCTGGGGCAGGAGGATCAGTTCTGGCCAGCCTGTACTACATAGCCAAGCATTCTCTAAAAATGAACAAGTCAGGGGGAGGGTGGAGGGCCTGGATGACAGGACTTGGTGATCCAAAGCATCAGCAGAGATATTGGAAGGAGAGCAGAGGCCTCCCCAGGAGTCCCTCCATCAGCTGCAGAAGCCAACCTCCTCACCAGTAGGATTTATTTCAAGGTTCTGCAAGCAAAGTGACTTAGCAATGTATTCTTTCCCATCTCCTTTCCAGAGGGGCTGAGTTCCATGGGGTGGCATCTGCTCCAAAGAGCCTGAGCTGTAGGCTGCACAGCTCCCCCGACTTCCAGCACACAGCATCCTCCCACCCCCACCCGCTTGGACTTGGGCGGAGAGGCATCTGAGGCCGTTATCTCTCAACACACAGCTGTGCAGGGCTGGAGGCAGCAGCTTATCAGGGAGCCTGCAGTGATTCACAGCCCAGGCTTCTCTGCTGAATAGTAATTTCTAGCAGTGGATTTGTGCTGTCTCTCTCCTCCCCCTCTCCCAAGGGTGTGCTGTCCTTTTGCAGGGAGAGGGCAGTGAAGGGGAGCTCCTACTCATGGGGCTTTGTGCCTGCCTTCTGGGTAAGGAAGTCTACCGGAAGGAGGGTGCAAGGTTAGAACCTTAACATGGTCTGCCAGCCTTGGCAGGCTGCCGCCTCCTCCAGCTCATCAGTGCTCTCTTTCCCTCCTTCCCCTCCCAGAAAAGCACCAACGCTGCTTCCTTTCCCTTTGTGGGGATGCAACAGGGACGCAGACCCCCACCCGCGCCACCACAGGTCCCTCTTGCCACATTTTGACGCTTCCCTGTCTCTGTGTCTGACCTTGAAGACTCCAAAGGCTAATAAGGCTGAAGGCAAGCATGCCAAAGTAGTCTCTGCACAGGCGGGTGGGTAAAGAAAAAAAAAATACTGGGGACGGAGCCATTTTCACTTTGTTTTATTGGAAGCAGGACTCCAGCAGTAGGACTCGGGAGGAGGCATGGGAAGTTTTGTCCTGGGTCCCCTCTCCGCCGCCATGCAAAAGGGGGGGATGCTAAGAGGAAGTAGAGCTAAAGAGGAGAATTGCCAGGGCGTGGGTGGGCAGAATAGGGTCCCGATTATTTTTTCAACTTGGCCACCCTCAAGGAATCTGCTTCACAGCTCCTGCCCTCAGTCAACAGCAAGGATGATTTCAAGATCCTCAACTGTCAGTCTTCATGCATTACTGGGTGCTTTTAAAGTCTGGGTCCCCAAGAAGTCTCAAGAGTCTCACTATCCGCCATGCTTCCCTAAAAAAAAAAAAAAAAAAAAAAAAAAAATCCCAGTATGGCCTACAAAAGGTGGAGGTGGGGTTCTGTGGCTTCTGGCAACACGTCCCACAAAGTGTCCTTGGACTTCAGGGGATCCTCTTGTCATTCCTGAGCTCCTTTTCAAGTCGCCTTGGGATCTGTGCTGTCAATCTTCCAGGAACATGGGCCCCTTGAAACCCAGGTATGAAAGGTGCACGTGGATGTAGGAGTGTTGAGGATATAAGATCCAGCCGGTCTAAGTGGCTCAGAGCCGGGAGTTCTCAGGCAGTCGGGTCCTCATTCTCAGCCCCTGGCTCAGGCTGAGACCGCTTAGCTGTGCTTTCTCCAGCAGCAGATTCCCCCAGGCTCCTCTTGGACGTCGACACCGTAGGAGGGGATGAAGGACCAGGATTGAGGTTCGGAGGCTGGTAGCCAAGTTGCAGTGGATCCAGTGCGTCCTTTGAAAGTAGGATGGCCAGGCTCGGTACATTCTTAAGTACACTGAGACTGGCGGCCGGATCCTCAGGCGTCTGACCCCGCGTGGGCCCAGGCGGGAGGCTCTGCCACACCTCGCGCACGCTCCGGTAGCGCAGCCGCGTGACCTGGTGTAAGCCCGCCAGGCGGCGCTTGAGGATCTCGGCGCACGTGACGGTTTTGGTGGTGGCCCGGCCGCAGCCGCTGAAGACGATGGCGCGCGTGGCTGGCTGCGCCATGCTGGCGGTGGCGAAGGCCAGCAGGTTGCGGATCTTGCTGCCCTCCTTGACCCGCATGTGTACAGCACCCGGCGCCAGATCTGCGAAAGGGCCAGAGCTTAGGCTGCCACCCTCATCACCGTCCCCCGCCGGCGCCTCCTCAGAGCGCACCTTACGGAAGTTCTCCATGCGCCGTCGTCGCTGGGATCGCAGGTTTTGCCATGGGGCCGCCTTAAGCCCGGGGTTGCATGGCCGCGGGTCGCGCCGGGCGACGGCCGGCAGGGGTTGGGATGCCGCACCGAGTGGAAGCTGAGGGTGGGCTAGGAACACGCAGTCTTCAGCCCCGACTTCTACCGGGTGCTGCTGCTCTTACTCTGCGCCCTCGGCGCCTTGTGCTCCGCGCCTTTAGCAGAAGCTCCGCCTGCGAGTCGGAGAAGCCCGGCCCCTTCGCCCAAGCCCCGCCCCAACTCTGCGTGACTTGTCCGAGTCGCAGCCCCGCCAGCCTTCGGGATCAAGCGCTGGTGCTCAGCGGCTGGGGTCATAGCGCCATGGGTGATTTGGGAGGCGAAGTTCTCCTAAGTCACAATCAGTCCTCCCTGAACCAGCCCTCACACAGGAGCAACCTAAATAAAAACTATGCTTGAGGTGCAAACGCCGATCCAAACCTGGTCCCCGAGCCTTGCGGGGGAGGGTGGGCGGAAAGGGGGGGTTCCAGTTCAAGAGCATCCCTAGACCCCTCCTAGGTAAGAGATTTCCAAACCACTTCCTGGGGCCTCGCTCCTCCAACCCTCTAGAGAACCCCCCCTTCTCTCCCTCGTATTCTTGCCTCAAGGACAGCCAGTGCATGGTCAGCAGGGTGTGGGAGGCGTTGGCTGCCGCTGCACGCTGAGCCTTCCCTTGGCTCGGACCGCTACGTCGCGGCATGGTCCTTTCGTAGCTGCTTAGAGAGACCAAGGTTTTAGCCTCCGCCCTCTTGACCAGACCTCCAGGCTGCCGGTACCCTCACACCTCTGAAATGCAGGAAATAATGCGCTGGGCCAGCCTAAAGAGGATGGGGAAGAGAACAGGAGACCATTTCTTTCAAGGCGTTACGTCCTTACATTCATGCCTGAAACTCCTTTACTAGAGCTGCACGAATTCTTGTCTGCTAACGTGGATTCCTCACTTCTAATCCCAGGTGGAATTTCTTGCCAGTCAGCCTTGGCTGCTAGAAATCCAGAGGGTTGTTTTTGACTGAGAGAAGGTTTTGAGAGATGGGAGGCAGGGGTGGAGTTGAAGCTTTGAGGGGGGGGGGGGGTGTTGGGAGTATTGGGTACCCTCTGGAAACGCTACACAACCTAAGGAGAGGCTCGGGCTCTGCTGCTAAGGGAGATGAGCAATAGAAAAGGCGAGGGGCGAAGGACCGATGGGAGGAAGAAGATGCTTTAATAAGGAGTGACCCTCTCTAACCCAGGCCTGGGACCATGCCCTTCAGTCTCCAACCCCGCTTCCACAGAATGTAGGAGGCCAGGCAGACCTGCTAAAGCTGGGGAAGGAAGAAGCACCGAAGGCTGTAGGAAGCAGGTCACCCCGAAAGTGTCGATGGTGCTTGGATGGGTACAGCTTCGGTTTAGGTATAGTGCTGCATGGCCCTCCTCTTCCTCTTAGCATCTGTGAGAATTCTCGGCCCCGCGCAGCTCAGAACTCCGGGTCCTCATCTCTTTCTGCAGGGTGTCTGCAGCACCTGGATGGACCTTTTTCTCCTTAAGTGTCAGCGACTGACTCCAATCTCTTGCTCGAATCCTAGGAGTGTGCCCCGAACTGGAATTCTGGCCTGGACAAGGCGCCGAGGGCGCAGAGTAAGAGCAGCAGGCTTCATTCACAGGGAGGAGCAGGTTCGGGAGGCACCGCCACAGCAGTGTCCGCGGGCCACGGGCACTGGTGGGCCACGCACGAAATCAAGGCAGGAATCTGAAACTGGAAACTGAATCAGAAACCACAAAAGAATTCTGTTGACAGGCTTGCTCTTCGTGGTTGTGCAGCCTGCTTTCAAAGTCGTCGGCTTCGGATTGGCCTGAGAAAAAGTTCCAGGAAGACTAGCAGCTATGCAGGAATGGGCTGGTTGGAAAAGAAGCCAGCTCTGTGACCCGGGGAGTCTGCCAGCCGGGACTAAAACAACTTGGAGGAGATGTGGGCAGGACTCTAGTTTGGAAGACCTGGGGGCTGCGGGGTTGTTCTGTGAGGAGGCGGCGGTTGTGCCTCCTCCCAAGCTGGCACTCAAGGACACCGCCACCCACTCCCAGGACCGCCGCTACCCTCTGCCACAGACTCCCCCATTCACTTTATTCCGGAGTCTGTAGAGGGAAAACGCAGAAAGGGCCGGGATCCCCGCCCGCGCGTCGCTTCCTTTCCTGCTCCCTCTGCAGCACTTAAAATGTAAATGCACATCGTGATTAGCCGCGGGGTCGCTAATTACAGCTGAAGCCATTCATTACGCTGTCAGCTCGCTCCGTCGCCCGCCGGCTGTGCGCTCCCTCCCGGCCGGGGAGGGGTGGTAGCGGGGGAGGTGGGGGAAGGATGCCCGGACTGTGCGTTGCTGGGAAGCCGAAGGCCGGGAACCGGCGGAGGGGCGGTGAGCTGAGGAAACCGGTTGGACCGTGAAGAAACCGTGGTGTCAGCGAGGGGAGAGACGCGGGAGGCTGGAAGGAGGGGGAATGAAAAGTGAGGATAAAGAGGAAGGGGTAGCGCGAGAGAAGAAACCAGGATAGGAAGAAGGCCAAGAGAGAAAGCGTGAGAAACGGGTAGGAACCTTCGGGAACGGGACAGACGACAGAGGGAGGGGAGAGAAGGTTCAACTTGGGGAAAGCGGGTAAATAAAGGTACTCTCTTTGCTTTACGCGACACCACAGTTAGAAAGGCAGTCAGGACGGTATGCTGAAAAAGCTGGGTGCCCGCCAAACCCTGCGGATACGTCTGCATATGTAAATGTATTTTAAATACTTAAAAGAAATCTGCACACTGGCATCTGTTACCTCTGCAGCCACATCCAGATTTTGTTGCTCTCTTTAAGGAAAGGATTACAAAATACGAATAGGAAATTAAGTAAGTGGAAAGTCTTGGAAGAGTCTGTATAATTGAGGTACTGACCCAGCAGCCCAAGCTTCGTTAGCCTCTTTCTGCCTCTTGTGACCTTCGACAATTGACTTAACCCTTGTGCCTTGCTTTGTCACCTGTGAAAAAAGGCTAATTATAGTAGCCTGCTTGCTGTGCTCCTGGTTCTAGGGACATATTGAATGTTATTACTTTTCATAAGTTGTGATTAAAATAAAATGTAGAAATCGCAAAAGGAGGGGTAGGGATGTAATTTGGTTGGTAAGAGTGCTTGCCTAGCATGCACAAGGCCCTAGCTAGGTTCGATTCCGCAGCGCCACAGACACTAGGGGTGTTGGTGTGTGCTTGTGACCCAAGCACTAAGAAGGTGGAGGCAGGAGGATCAGCGGTCCAAGGTCTTCCATCTCAATATAGCAAATTGCAGCCATCCTAGGCTACATAAGACCCCATATTAAAAAACAAAAAACAACTGTAAAGACAGATGTGGGGAAGCAAAGCTGGTGAGGAAAGCCTTAGATAGAGCAGTTCAACTAATATGGAGACCAAGCCCAGGAGCTTGAGCTACAAAATCCCCTGCCAGCCACCCACCCTCCTCTGCCTCCTGGAGCAGGAAGGAAAAGAGGCCCTTAGCTTAGTGAAGCAGAGGCAGGCAGAGCTCTGTGAGTTCAAGGCCAGCCTGATCTATACAGCAAGTTTCAGGACAGCCAGAGTTACTTAGAAAGACCCTGTCTCAAAAAAAATTATTTTATTTTTAATTATGTGTCTTTGTGTAGGTTATGTGCACATGTGTGCATATGTTCCCAGAGGCCAGAGACTTCAGATCCTCTGGAGCTAGAGTCACAGGAGTATGAGCCCCTTGATGTGGATACTGGGAATCAAACTCAAATCCTCTAGAAGAGCAGCAAGTACCCTTAACTGGTCTATCCCTCCAGCCCCCATTTTTGCCTAAGATAGGTCTGTTGTATTCCAGACTTGGAACTATGTACCAAGACTGGCCTTGACACTCCTGGTCCTTCTGTTCTCTCTCCAGAATTACAGGCATGAGCTGTGATTACACCTGGTTCTCAACCCATACCTGTCCTACCTGGGCAGCTCAAGTCATTTACATTTCAGGGGCCAAAGAAATGGCTCAGTGGATAAAGTGCTTGTCACCAAACCCGATGATCTGAGTTTGGTCCCCTGGAAATCACATGGTAGGAGGAGAGAACCAAACCCTGCACATGCGTGTTTAAAAATAGAAGCAGAGTTTTAGGAGGTATGGATGGCATATTCTGGTAATTGAAGCAATCAATCCAGAGGGTATTCGGAGGAGTTTGAGTTTAGGCCAGCGAGGACTACAAAGTGAGACATTTTCTCAAAATAAATATTTTTTTTTCTTTTGTCTGGACACAGGGCCTCACTGGGTAGCTCTGGCTGACCTGGAACTCATAGAGGCCTCTGCCTCTGCTTCCCAAGGGCTGGGATAAAAGACATGTGCCACCACTCCCAGATAATTTTTATATTTATTTATTTATTTTAAAAGAAATAGGGCTGGAAAGATGGCTCAGGGGTTAAGAGCACTGGCTGCTCTTCCAGAGAACCCAGGTTCAATTTCCAGAATCCACACGGCAGCTTACAACTGACTGTAACATTAGTTCCAGGGGACCCGACACCCTCACACAGACATACATGCAGGCAAAACACCAATGTACATAAAATGAATAAATCTTTAATAAAAAGAAATATTTGGATTGGCTTTGTGGGGAGAGAAGGTTTTCAGGGCAAGAAAAATGTGTTGGATATCTGCATAAAAAACATGCCCCCAAATTTAACAGCTTAAAATCGTCAACATTTATCATGTCACACAGTTTCTGAAGGTCAGAAATCCAAGTTCAGCTTGAAAGGGTAGACCTCTCAACTCAGCATCTCACCTGACTAGGCTACGGCATTAACTCCTAAGCTTATCTACTGTATGTTGGTTATAGGCCTCCATCCCCTCTACTAGCCCCCTCCCTCGTGATGTATCAGAGATGAGAAGAGTGAAGACAGGGAGGGAGGGAGAGAGAGAGGGAGGGAGGGAGGGAGAGAGAGAGAGAGAGAGAGAGAGAGAGAGAGAGAGAGAGAGAGAACAGTGTCTAATGGTTCAATTAGTTAGGAGGCATCTTAGTCAACATTTAAGGAGAATTAACTCCCTTCCTGAAGGGAAGGTATAGAGAATTTGTGGATATCCCAAAATCCCAACAGATCTATAACGTCTGAGAGGCAGATTTGGGAGGGGAGGGAAGCAGGAATTAATTCATGGAAGCAAAGGATACTGCCCTGAATCAGGAGAGCTGAATTTATTTCCTGGCATTTAGAGATTATTTTCATGGACACAAAAGTGGTGTATTTTGCAGGGCTCTCCTGGGGGCTTCAGTGTAGGATTACAGATACCAGAGCTGTATCAATTTAACAGTGCCATAATGATCCCTAGAGGCAGAAGTGGCTTGGGAGGGCACAAGGCTCTGTCCTACTGGAGTCCAGGTTTCTTCTTGGCCTGGACTACAGTCTCGGGCCCAGAGGCAGTGCTCTGATTCAACTCTCTGTCCTAGCTCACTCTCTGGCTCACCTTTTCTTGCCTCTGGGCATTGTTTCTTCCCCTGAGCTATCTATCCAGGACAGGACTGGTCCCGAAGAGTGGTGCCTAACATGAATGGAGGTCTGTGGGAGGCAGAAGGGGAGGCAGATGCAGTCATGGAGCCTCCTTCATCTCCTCAGCAGTTTGGTGCTGCTGGTTCTTCAGCCATCTTTCCAGACTCCAGAGGCAGGTACATTAAAGAGCCATTCACCTGTGTAAAGTTGAGTCCGCAGAGGAGAGGGCTGGGCTTCCTTAACTCACTGTGTGGCAGAGATTGATCTTGAACTTTCCATCCTCCTGCTTCAGCCTCCTGATGCTGAGATTACAGGCATGCACTACGTTTAGTGGGTGCGGGTGATCTAACCTGGGCTTTGTGTATTCTAAAGGAGAACTCTATCAACTGGCCTGCATCTCCAGCCCTGCATATCGTAGCTCTGGCTAGTCTGGAACTCACTATGTAGAACAGGCTAGCCTTGAAATTTCAGGGTTCGTCTGGCCCTCCCTCCTGAGTGCTGGTATTATACGTGTGTGCCCCACACTAGCCTTGCTTCCTATCTATGGAGCAGCTTGGCCCTCTGAAGAAAATCATACTCCCAGCTCCAAGGTAGGAATGGAAAACAGAAGAATCAGGATGTTTGAGAAACCTTAGGGGAAAGGTACGGAGCTGGTAGGTGAGTTTCCCTTTCTGTTGCTGTGATAAATTATGTTGACCATGGCTGGAGAGATGGCTCAGAGTGCTTGGTGTTCTTCCAGAGGAGCTGAGTTTGGTTCCCAGCACCTGTGCTGGGTGGCTCACGACTGACTTTAACTCTAGTTCCAGGAAATCCAACACCTTTCTCTGGCCTCCTCAGGCACCCATCACACCTGACATCCACATAAAGAATAAATAGTGACGCACAGCTTTAGTCCCAGCATTTGAGAAGCAGAGGCAGGTAGATCTCTGTGAGTTTGAGGTCAGCCTGGTCTACATATTGAGTTCTAGACCAGCCAGAACTGCATAGACCTTGTCTCAAAAAACAAACCAGTTGGGTAGT